TGAGAACACAGCCTCAACCACAAATTCTCGACCACAGAGCTCCAACCACCACAGCCCTGACCACAGGGCTCCAACCACCACAGCCCTGACCACAGAGCTCCAACCACCACAGCCCCGACCACAGAGCTCCAACCACTACGGCCCTGACCACAGGGCTCCAACCACCACAGCCCTGAGAACACAGCCTCAACCACAAATTCTCGACCACAGAGCTCCAACCACCACAGCCCCGACCACAGAGCTCCAACCACAAAGCCTCAACCAAAGAGCTCCAACCACACAGTCCCGAACACAGAGCCCCGACGGCAGGGCCACAACCACACAGCCCTGAGAACACAGCCTCGACCACAAATTCTCGACCACAGAGCTCCAACCACAAAGCCTCAACCAAAGAGCTCCAACCACCACAGCCCCAACCACAGAGCTCCAACCACTACGGCCCTGACCACAGGGCTCCAACCACACAGCCCTGAGAACACAGCCTCAACCACAGAGCTCCAACCACCACAGCCCCGACCACAGAGCTCCAACCACTACGGCCCTGACCACAGGGCTCCAACCACCACAGCCCTGACCACAGGGCTCCAACCACACAGCCCTGAGAACACAGCCTCAACCACCACAGCCCCGACCACAGAGCTCCAACCACAAAGCCTCAACCAAAGAGTTCCAACCACACGGTCCCGACCACAGAGCCCCGACGGCAGGGCCACAACCACACAGCCCTGAGAGCACAACCTTGACCACAAATTCTCAACCACACAGCTCCAACCACCAAGCTCCAACCACTACGGCCCTGACCACAGAGCTCCAACCACCACAGCCCTGACCACAGGGCTCCAACCACACAGCCCTGAGAACACAGCCTCGACCACAAATTCTTGACCACAGAGCTCCAACCACCACAGCCCCGACCACAGAGCTCCAACCACAAAGCCTCAACCAAAGAGCTCCAACCACACGGTCCCGACCACAGAGCCCTGACGGCAGGGCCACAACCACACAGCCCTGAGAACACAACCTTGACCACAAATTCTAGACCACAGAGCTCCAACCACCACACCCTGACCACAGGGCTCCAACCACACAGCCCTGAGAACACAGCCTCGACCACAAATTCTCTACCACACAGCTCCAACCACACAGCCCTGACCACATAGCTCCAACCACCAAAGCCCCGATCACAGAGCTCCAACCACACGGCCCCAACCACAGAACTCCACACAGCCTCAACCACAGAGCCCCAGTGGCAGGGACCCCACTGCACAGATTCCTGACCATATGCTCCTAACCAGAAAGCCCTGACCACAAAGCCGACCACCTAAGCTGTCAGGACATGGACAGAGTGAGACCGCTGACCCCGCTGAGTGCCCCCTTTAACGAGTCCTCTGGAGCCCTTCTCGGTACAGCACCAAAGATAGGCACTGAAAGAGCACAAGAAGATCGAATTTCACAAACGATGACTATTCTGTAAACACAGAGCAGACAGACAGAACGGGAAGCCAGCCCGAGCTGCAGGCCAGGCAAGCAGACATGCTCAGTCCATGCACAGGGAACTCGCACATCCCAGCACGAGCCGACAGACATGCAACCACAGCAACTGACCCGGGGCCACATAGCAGGCTCCCACCTCAGGGAAACACCCACAGGGTGGCCCAGGCTGTCATCTTCACCACGCAGGCCGCCTCGTGCTCCCAAGGGTCAGCTGGTGGGTTCAAACCCCAGCTCTGCAACCACCACGCCCCGGGGGCTCTGGGGGTTGAGAGCCAAGCACTCTGCGTCAGACAGTCCTAGAGCAGGGTGGGGGCCGCGGAGTGGGGGCCGCAGGTGCGCTGAAGCCAAGTGGACACTGCGTGTGCGGCCACATGGTGGCGCAGAGCAAGGCTGGCCTAAGATGGGAGCCGATGGGGTCCAGGGAAGAGGGAGTGCAGTGACTGAACCCAGGGTCCTAGCTGGACAGTGCGGAGGCAGGTGGCGCCGAGGCAGCCTGGGCCAGGAGTGGACGGAGAGGTGTGCACACACTGGCATGGACACCAATCCAGTCAGCTTCCCTGCCCCACTTACACGTACGTCCCAAGACCTCTTTAACCAAATGCTCTGTCGTGAACCTGGAAGACCTCCACCCCAGGGGCAGGGACCAGATGCCAGAAACCTGGTACCACTGCCATCTAGAGCTGGGCCTTGCCCTGGGAAGCTTCCTCTCCAGGGCTCCCACTGCCACCTCACAGCCACTCTCCAGCCCCTCCTATGCAGCAGTGACAAGGACTTCTGACAGCTCTGCGTGGTGATTCCCCGTTCCAGCCCCCAAACCCACCGTCCATGCAGCAGCCTGGGCTCCCAGGCTGTCCCTCAGGGTACCTACTCTCTCCCCGTACCTTCCCATAGCCTGCCATGGCCTCTGCTACCCCCGTGGCCTGCTGTGCCCCCGACATCCCACCTCAGCAGGTCAGAGCCCTGGCCTTCATCCTGAGCCAGCCAGTAGCCACCACCCCAACTGTGGGCCAGTCAGGCCCAGTGCTGACCCCATGGAGTTCCCACCTGGCAAATGGTCATGAGTTCACGACAAGGTAAAAGCCCACAGTGACTGGAGTTGACCAGCACATGGACATTGCTCAGTGCTGCACCAGGCTGGGAGGGAGCCCTCCTGCCGTCAGTCCACCACACGCTCATGGGGGCACACTTGTACGCGGTGCTTCAGTCCCCCAGTGACAGACTGCCCACCACACAGGCCACTGTGGAGTCCTGCGTCCACACTCCAGGTAACAGAGCTCCGGCCCGCGCTTCGGATGAGGTCTTCAAACAGGCCTCCACCTTCAAAGGCTCCGTGGCACTGAGAAGATGCCCCAAGCCCTCCGGCCACATCCCACCCCGCTGAACCTCGACTGGACACTGGGCTCTAAGCCCAGCATGGTCTGGGGGAAGGGGTCTGAGAATGTCCTCATAATCCAGGAATACCAGGTCTCGAGGTGGAAATGTAAAAGTCAGGGTAGAAATAGAGGACTCTGCAATAACAGCATGGCAGGAATGGTAGACCCCAAAGTGGGGAAGATGGACCCCAAAGGAAGGATGCTTGACCTCACGGTGGGAATGACCTTCACGGTGGAAACAGCGACCCTCACGGTGGGAACAGTGACCCTCACAATGGGCACGGGGACCCTCACGGTGGGAATGACCCTCACAGTGGGAATGACCTTCACGGTGGGAACAGCGACCCTCACGGTGGGAACGACCCTCACGGTGGGCACGGCGACCCTCACGGTGGGAACGACCCTCACGGTGGGCACGGCGACCCTCACGGTGGGAACGACCCTCACGGTGGGAACGACCCTCACGGTGGGAACGACCCTCATTGTGGGAATGACCCTCACGGTGGGCACAGCGACCCTCAAGGATGTTGGACTTTGAGGCAGGAAGACCAGACTTCAGTGGGAATACTGAACTTCCCAATGGTAACAGCAGGCCTTCACTGCAGGAATGTGGGATCACGTGATGGGGACACTGGACGTCAAGGTGCAGATACTGAACCTCAGACCGTGTGGCAGGAATGGGGAGTAAGGCCCCACAGAGCATCGTGCCCTGGGACGCTGTCTCTCGAGGTGAGGGTGTTGGGTTCTCACAGCAGAACACCAGCAGCAAGTCCCACGCCGCACGCCCACGTCTACACCACGAGTCTGAGTGTGTCATCCTCCCAGGCGAGAGCTGACCATGCCTGACCCCTCGCAGTCGCATTCTGATGCTCACAGGGCCTCTGACAGGCAGGATCCCCGCCCTGACCCAGGGGTCCCCAGGTCAGGCCTGCCTGACATCAGAGCATCCTTCTCCCCAGGCCCCTCACACTGGACACCAGAGTCTCTGCTCTGCCACTGTTGTTGTTGTGTGCCGTCGAGTCGCTTGTGACTCATAGCAACCCTACGTACAACAGCCCTAAACCCTGCTCTATCCTGTGCCAATCGCACTGCCTCTGACACTCCCATCCCGATTACCCCAGTCACCGAATCAATCCACCTCATAGAGGGCCTTTCCCTCCTGCGCTGTCTGTCCCTCCACCCTCCCAGGCATGATGTCCCTCTCCAAGGACCGGTCCCTCCTCTGCTTGGCCATAGCCTGCCAAAATCAACTGTGAGACGCCAAAGCCAGATGCCTGGGTGACAGCTTACGATGTTAGGTGTCAACATGTGCTCTCACAGCGTCCCAGCAGCCAGGCCCTGGTCACAGAGATGTGCTGTGGTGTGGAGGGACAGCCCAGAGGTCAAACAGATCAACCTGGTGACCCCAAGAGGTGTGGCTGGCGCTGCCTCGGGGCCCCCAGAACTCCCACGTGACAATGAGGAACATGGCCGCAAGCCTGTTACCTGAGAGCTCCAGGTCCAGCGAGTACTTGTGCGAACCGAGCCCGTGGCTCCGGATGAACTCCTCTTGGTCATCCTCAGACAGGTCCCCCGGGGCGGCCTGGGGCGGCCCCTCTGGACCACCGATGGCTCTCGGGCCACAGGGAAGAGCGGCCAGTGACTTGCTGCAGCAGGGCTGTTCCTCGTCCAGGGGCCCGGGGACCGCTGAGCCCAGGCTCGAGGAGAGGGGGGCGGTCTCTCCAGGCACCCCCAAAGCAGGACATGGGCCTTCCAAGCTTGAGGCCAAGTCAAAGGGCACCAGCAGGCGGAAGCAGCTGTCCACTTCGGTCAGGCAGGACCGGATTTCCCCGGACATTTCTGCCAAAGGATGAGAGGACTGTTGATGTGACAGCCGGGCCCCCAGCACCCCTCAGCCTGACATCCGCCCAGAGGCCTGCTCCACAGAGCCTGCGCCTGAGAAGGGGCGCCCTGCGCAGCATCTAGTGGGCTGAGGTCATGGTATGTCCCACGCTCGAGTCACAGATACACAGGTCCCCCAACACACACGTGTGGGCCACCTCCACCTGCCAGCCTCATCCCCGGGGTCCCTCTCCCTTCATCCCACTGGCAAGAGAAGGCACTGAGCTGGGTGCGGGTCCTGAGGGAGGCCTTCCAATCGCTCAGTGAACTCTCAGCTCAGCAACGATCCACCTATCGACCCTGGGGTTCGAACCTGTGCCCGGAAGGCAGAGACCTGTGACCCAGACGGACTCCAGGAGGGTGGTCAGCTGAGGACACTGGGGCACATACCACCTCCCAGACCCTGAGTCCCTTGCCCATTATAGCTGCATATGCCCTGCTCTCCCTGGCACGAACCAGGCGCCCCCTCCTCCAGCAGCCCTCACAAGCCCTGGGACCTGGTGCTCTTGCTTGCTAACCCTTGAGGGGGCGTCTCATGGGGCGAGCCACGCCCAGCAGTGGGGTGTCTGGGTTGGCTGGTCGTCCCCAGGGGCAGGGCTGAGCTCCCACAGCCCTGACCCGCATGAGGGCCCAGGGCAGCCACTGCTGCTTGTCTCAGAGGACACTTCCCTGCGTCCCTCCCACCTGGGCACCCTGTGGTGGCAACCAGGTGCCAGGGAGCCAACTGGTGAGCCCAGCCTGGGCCTGTGGCGGGAGTGCACGCGGCTTCCCCTTGCTCCCTTGCTCCCCTGCCCCCTGGCTCCCCTGCCCCCTGGTTCCTTCCTTCTTTCACTCCCCTGTTCTTAGCCCTCCCACTGCTCTAATCCTTCCCTCCCTCCCCTCCTCTCCAGCACCACTGCTGTGGGGCGGGGTGTTCTAACAGGAAAGGGGCACAGATGAGCTTCAGCTGGCCAGCAGAGGGGGCTCCCGAGCAGGTGAGGCTCTGGGAAGGGTCTGTGGGGCAGGGCTGGGGGCTGACCCCCGCTACCCTGACATCCAACCCCTCGGGCCTCAGCAGGCCCTAGGACTAGGATGCAGCGGCCCTGGAGCTGTCGGTGTGAGTGGAGGAGGGTGGTGGGTCCCCAGCCCTGGTCACCTGCCTTCCATCTCCCTCTCAGCCCGCCTGGCCCGCTCCTTGTAGATCCCATCCAGGCGTCTCTGCTTCTCCTCCTCTCTCTTCCTTTCCGCCAAAGTCCGAGCACTGACGTCCTGAAAATCAACCTGAGACAGCGACACCGTCAGACTCCTCTTCTCAGGAGGAGATCACATTGGAACAAACAGAAAACACAGCGTCAGTGACACGGACGGACGGATGGACAGATGGACAGGGGGTCCACACGTGACATAGCTGGATGGACGGACAGGGTGCTGCACGTGACACGGCTGGACGGACGGACACAGGGTCCACACGTGACAGATGGACACAGATGGACGGATGGACACAGGGTCCGCACGTGACACAGATGTACAGACACGGGGATCGCACGTGACATGGATGGACGGACAGACGGACACAGGGTCCACATGTGACACGGATGGATGGATGGATGGATGGATGGATGGATGGATGGATGGATGGATAGACACGGGGTCCACTGATGACACAGATGGACGGACAGACATGGGGTCCACACGTGACACAGATGGACAGACACAGGATATGCATGTGACACGGGGTCCACATGTGACATGGACGGGTGGACAGACATGGGGTCCACTCGTGACACGGCTGGACGGACAGACACGGGGTCTGCACAGCACATGGGGACTGCGTAGCGGCGGCAGCACAGCAGAGACTGTGAGGGTGGCACAAGGCTGTGTTCTGCTGTGGACATGGGCGGTGGACACGGCGGTGAACACAGATGGGCCACTGGGAGCCAGAGCTGACTGTGTGTCAACAACATAGAAAACCACAACCCCAGAAAACAGAAATCAGGTCTCTACGAGACGTCCCAGCCTCAGCACACGGCCGGGAGCTCTGAGACTCCTGTCTGAGTTCATGTTACTTCCTAAGTAGTCCTGGTGGCGCAGTGCGTTAAGTGCAGGTCTGCTGACACTAAGGTCAGCAGTTCAAACCCACTAGCTGCTCTGAGGGAGAACGACGGGACAGTCTGCTCCCACAGAGCCTGGCAGCCACGGGGAGGCCTGTCCTGCGCTTTAGGCTCTACCCGAGTTGGGAGTGACTGGGCAGCAGAGGCCGGGCATCTGCAAACGGCAAACCCGACGTTTAGTCCCTGGAACGTCTGGCCAGCAGTACTGCCACCCTCAATGGGGGAGAATTACAAACCGGGATGAGCGTTTCTGCTCCACTTCCAGGTCGGTACATGCTGCCAAGACCTGTTCCCAGAACCAGCCTCGGGCCAAGGGGGCAGCCACCTCAAGGTGGGGTCAGTATGATCTGGAAAAATCAGGGAGAGGGGGACAAGGCCCCGGGGCCCCTGGACCCCAACAAAACCCACCCAGACCCTGGGTGGAGATGTCCATCACAGGCTGCGGACCCCACGCCAGGCACAGCGTGAGAGACTGTGCTCTGGAAACTCAATGCCCCTCTGCATTTTCACAGACTTGTCTCTCGGCAACCACAGGCAGAGTTGGGTACCTAATCCCCCCCAGGACTGCATGCTTCAGGTCCCTCAGGTGTTACAGTCATGGCTGACTACTGGGGACCCCAAATATGCAGACAAGAGCCCCACCAGGGCCATCTTCTGAGGGGCCCCGGGTAGGTCTGGACCACCAACCCTTCAGTGAATAATGCAGCACTTAACTGGCAGCACCACCAAAGGAACGTGTCAGATTCCTGCCTGCAGACCAGCATGGGTCCCCCACCAGCCCTACAGGCTACCCTGGGCCCCCCACCAGCACCCACCCCTTCCCCAGCTGGTTATGGGCAAAGCCCTTTCCCTCCTCCACCGCTATCCTGGAAACGCTCCCGATAACCCGCTTCCCTGGTCCTGCCCTCCCCAACAGTCCAGCAAATTATTTCCTTTTTGTCACTGAGATATTTCCCAGACCTCCGACTTCCCCACCTCAGGAAAAGTCCCCAGAGCACGCTGTGGGTGGGGGAGCCCGAGCCAGCGCAGAGGGCCCTGCAGTGTGGAGGCGAAGCAGGGCAGGCAGGGGGCAGAGGTCACAGGTCTCTGCTGCACCCACCCCCTCCTCCCCGGACCCCCAGGGGCTCCAGGGTGGCAGGATTCCCACCTGCTTGTTGTGCCGCAGGAAGTGGTAGCCCAAGGCCAGCTTCTTGTAGGCCTCGCCGAACTTCTCGTTCCAGCCCTGGACAGCCTGCATGGCCGCCCGCCTCAGCTTCTGAGCCACCTCCCTGGGCGGGGGCAGCGGCTGCTCGTGGTCTGTGCCCAGCGTCAGCTCCAGGAACTCCTGGAAGTTGGAGACCACCAGCACCCGGAACAGGTGTGAGCGGACGAAGAGCTGGTCCAGCGCCTGGAAGGCGGACAGGCGGATCTGGGCGTGCTCCTGGGTGAGCTGGGTCATCAGCAGGTGGTAGGTGTGGCGAAGCTGCTCCTCTGAGGACCTGCGGACATGGGGGTCTCAGCCACGCTCTGGAGGAGAAGGGCCCACGGACTGCACCCCAGAGCACGCACACGGCCCTGAGGACCTGCGGACACGGGGGTCTCAGCCACGCTCTGGAGGAGAAGGGCCCACGGACTGCACCCCAGAGCACGCACACGGCCCTGAGGACCTGCGGACACGGGGATCTCAGCCACGCGCTGGAGAAGGGCCCACGGGCTGCGCCCCAGAGCACGCACACGGCCCTGAGGACCTGCAGACACGGGGATCTCAGCCACGCTCTGGAGAAGGGCCCACGGGCTGCGCCCCAGAGCACGCACACGGCCCTGAGGACCTGCGGACATGGGGATCTCAGCCACACTCTGAGCCCCAGAGCATGCACACGGCCCTGAGGACCTGCGGACACAGGGGTCTCAGCCACGCTCTGGAGGAGAAGGGCCCACGGACTGCGCCCCAGAGCACGCACACGGCCCTGAGGACCTGCAGACATGGGGGTCTCAGCCACACTCTGAAGGAGAAGGGCCCACGGGCTGCGCCCCAGAGCATGTGCACAGTCCTGAGGACCTGTGGACACAGCGGTCTCAGCCACGCTCTTGCACACAGCGGCCCTACACACACTTGACCAGCGTCTCCCCACATTCACGCTCTCCTGTGGTCAACCTGCTCGCCTCCTGCTGTGCCCAGCACCCTCAAATCACAGAAGGCGTCTGTACTCTCAAATGGTTGAAATAAATAAAAACTGAAAACCAAAACAATGCAAAACAAGGGACGTGTCGAGAGAACTTCACATTCCGGCGCTTGTCCATTTTCCGGGCCGTGGGCACCTCGGTCCATGGGAGCCGGCCGTGGGTGTGGTCACACAGGGCAGTGGTGAGAGCCGGCGTGGCCAAGCTCGAGGCAGTCCCCCAGGGGGCTCACGGGACTGTGAGGACCGGTCAGCACGTTGCCGGGTGCCACTCAGCAGACACTGTGCTCTTCCCAGCCTGAAGGCTGGCGGCCACCCGCACTGAGGGAGTGTGTCTTGGTCGTTTCTGCCAATCGCAAGCTCTCTGCACCTCTGCGTGCCGTTGCGGTAATTCTGGGATCAAACGTTTCCATCACGCTGTTGTACACGTGAACAGAGTACAGCACAGCACAAACTCATCCTGTACACAATCCTGTTACTATGTGCCGTCCAGTCACATCGGCTCATAGCTGACCCTCCAGTGGGTTTCCAGAGGCAGTAAATCACACGGGAGTTGACTGCCCATCTCTGTCCCCTCAGAGCAGTTGGTGGATTCGAATCACGTTCCTTTGGGTTGGCGGTTCTTTACCACTGAGCCGCAAGAGCTCCCTGCAGGCATGGTGTTGTTGTTGTTATGTGCCATCAAGTCACCTGTGACTCACAGTGACCATATGTACAACAGCCTGAACCCTGCTCTATCCTGAGCCAACCTCACTGTCTCCGACACACCTACCCCCATCACCCCAGTCACTGAATCAACCCATCTCATAGAGGGTCTTCCCCTCCTGCACTGTCCCTCCACCCTCCCAAGCATGATGTCCCTCTCCAAGGAGTGGCCCCACCAAGCAACATGTCCAAAGTATGTCAGTATGTCAGATGAAGCCTCAGAATCCTTGCCTCCAAAGGACAGCCTGGTTTCACCCTCTCCAGGACAAACCTGCTTGTCCTCTTAGCAGTCCATGGTGTATTCAATATTCTTCTCCAGCACCAGACAGCTCAAAGTCATCAATTCTTTATCATCCCCAGTCACTGTCCAGCTCTCTGATGCACAGCACATCAATGCAAAGACCATGGCCTGTGATCAGGCACACCTTAGTCTCCAGACTGACATCATTGCTCATCGATGTGATTGCTTCCCTGTGCTGTGTGCTTTGCTGTGGTGGTCTCCCCGAGGTCTGCCTCAAGAGTTCTCAGTGAGCGCATCGTTCGGCGTGGAGACCACACTTCCCAGCTCCTCTGCAGCGGGCGTAGCCAGTGAGGGTTCGAGGAAACAGAAAGGCCTCAGGGAGCCTCGCGGGACAGGAGCTGCACACACTTTCTGTTTTTCTACTTTATAGTGTCACTGTTATGTGAGGTTTTCTGGGGTGTACAGCTAAGCTGAAAATCTTCCTTAAAATGTACATATACTCTGTCACTAACCAAACTTAGGAAATTAATCAACTTCTCCTGTTTGGTGAACACAGGACACAGAGCAGTTTGCGAGGCTGTTCACAAAGCCAGGGTCTGAGAGGAAGGTGTTCTTCCCCGCCTGGGACCCCTCATGGATCTCCTCCGGAGAAGCAGCGGTCCGGCTAACAGTGTCTGCTGAGTGAGAGACATCCGAGGACAGACATGCTGGACAGACAGGGCCTGCCGAGTCAACGAGCCACGCTCCCTCGGGGGCCGCTCACCTTCCCCAGGACACACGCCAACGGTAAGGATGCAGGCTTCGCAGGGTCCCATCCACGTGCTCGTAGACGACACCCCCCCACACACACACGTGCACCACACACACACACGGCCAGGGGCCTAACATGCTCCTCACCCCAGGGACACTGCCCAGAACATGACTCTTACCACGGGATTGGGGCACTGTGGTGCCTTGGGGAAATGACTGGGGCCCTCGTGTCCCCAGCACGAGGGCGGTCACCGTGGGGCAGGCAGGGGATGGCTGAAACACATGCAGATGGACACAACGCCCGATCTGGGGGCCGCCCCAATCTCTCAGGTTACAACCCACATACTTGCAGATTTTCTTCAGCTCCTTCATTTTCTGGGGGTTCAGCTGGGGCTCTCCTGAAGTGGTGAGCTCCTCCACCAAGGCCGGAAGCTTCTGATCCATCCCTGGAGTACAGGAGGCTAAGTCATAACCCCGTTTACCATTTTATTCCTAAATATTTCCCAAACTCCTTGCACCCCAAGGAGGGGCCAGGAGCTGGAGCTGTCCGGCCACCACGAGAGGACCTCTGGGGGGGGGCATCTAACAAACCACAGCAGGACCGAGGGTGAGCCTGGGACGATAAGCCGAGAGCGTGCAGGCAGGACACCGGAGCCCACCACGCTCCCTGGGAGATGCTGCAGCTTGGAGGGACCAAGCTTACGTTCTGAGTCATAATCAAGCCAGTATTTAAAAAAATGTATTTGTCTAAAACAACTATGACATATCATCTCACCCCAGTCAGAATTGCAAAATTTAACAGAACAGCAAGCAACAAATGCTGGCGAGGTGGTGGAGACACTGGAACCCTTATTCACTGCTGGTGGGAGTGTAAAAAATGGTGCAACCCCTGTGGAAGGCGGTGTGGAGCTTTCTCAAAAAGTTGCAAATAGAGATACCATTTGACCCAGCAATTCCACTACTGGGAATATACCCCAAAGAGACCATAACTGACACCCAAGCAGATACATGCACACCCATGTTCACTGCAGCACTGTTTACAATAGCAAGGAGTTGGAAACAACCCAGATGCCCAACAACAAACGAATGGATAGAGAAGCTGTGGTATATTCACATAATGGAATACTATACTACATTGAAAAACAAGGAACTCATGAAATTTTATTCAAAATGGGGGACCCTGGAGGACATTATGCTGAGCAAAGTATCTCAGTCACAAAAGGACAAATACTGCATGGTGCCACTGTTGTAAAACAGGACTGACATCGGAGTTGGGGGGGAGACTGAGAAAGATGGGCTCAATAATGTATACTGCATTGAAACGGATGAGGGAGAAAACTGTTTAAAAGGGATATGTGATTAGGTATTTTTGTCATGACAGGAGTCTAGAGTAAAGTCTGCGTGGTGGAGTGGACCTGGGGGAAGGTTTGTAAAAAAGGAAAGAATTTTTGTTTTACTTTTTAGTGTACTAGTGGACAGGGTTGGGAGGGGAGAAAAGTGCAACAATGAATGAATGGAAATCCAAAGTCTCTGTAAATT